TATTTAAATACCCCATTTTTAGCAAAAAAATAATTAATAAATAAAAAAATATTAGTTAATACACTAAATTGATTAAAAATAATAACTTAGAATTATAAAAATATATTTTTTGCATAAATATCGTAATTTTACATGAATAAGGGCTATTATTGCAAAAATGTGCAATTAGTCTAAAAAATACAAATGTAATTATAAAAAATATAGTAAAATATTTTACATATTGGTATAAATAATGATTTTGGATGATTAAATCACCATAAAAATAATTTGAAGGATAATTGTTGGATATTTATATAATAAAAATGCAGAAATAAATTAATTTAAAGCCTTTAAAAATCATGAAAATTATGAAAAATGCTTGTATAGGTTCATAAACTAGATGAGGATGAAAATATACTATATGAGGGAAAAATTTGTATTAACAAGAAAATCTATGGTATTTTTCTAAATAACAATAATAAACATTAGGGAAATTACATAGGATGCATCAAGTACTTGTCCGAAAAAATTAGTTTCACACTTAACTTTTAGGGGCGTTCAATTACCTCCCTATACTTGTTCAAAGTGAATTTAATACCTACAAAAAAGATGCGTTTTATTAGTCTTAAATTTTAAAAAAATTATTTTTTTTTGCAAGAACACACTTTCTGGAACCCCCCTATTCTCCATCTAAACATTCACTCCCTTCTTCTCCAATTTATCCACCTCTCTTAAGTCTTCCTTTTCTTTCCTCGTCTTCACACCCCAACCCTTTTTCTTCATCACCGATTCTTTTAATTTTTGTTGTGTATAAAATTGATTTCTATAATACAATTTTTCTTCAAGTCAATTAATGTCCTCCGTTGAAAAGCACCCAAGGTTTAAATTTCGAACCTTAAACTTAAGATTAGGCCTAGGATTCTATGTTTGAATGGATGAGTTCGTTAATTGATGAGAGATTTTCTTTGAATTTTAGTTGGAACCAATTTGAAGGCCATAAATTTGAGCTTTAATGGAGGTTCGGTAGTGGATATGGAAGAAAAAGAAAAAAGAAAAATGTGTAAATAAAAAGAAAGAAGAAAAAAAGAAGTAAAAAGCATAAATTTCTTATATTTCTAACATGATGCCGATGTGGCGCTCACGTAGCATGCGCGTGTGGAACACTTCACACCATGAAAGTGGTATTACGCTTCACAGGATGGTATTAAATTCACTTTGGACAAGTATAGGGAGGTAATAGGACACTCGCAAAGGTTAAGTGTGAAACTGATTTTTTCAGGCAAGTACATGGTGCATCTTATGTATTTTCCCTAAAAGTTATAATAAAATCATTTCTCGGACGTAAACTCTATTATAGTAGACAATTTATCAGTTCATCTCATAAGTTTTAAAACAAAATAAAAAAGAAATTAAGCAGGTATTTGGACATAAAAATTATATAATTTTTAGAAAAAATAATATTTGAAGTTAAGTTGGAAAATAGTATTTGGAATTTGAAATTATAATTGGTCATGCATTTCACTTGAAAAAATATTGCAGTTTTGTGAGTGATGAAAAAAATTTCTGAAAATATAGAAAAAGTGCTCAGAACTATATTTTGTTTTTTGAAAAACTCATTTTTAAAAAATTTGCAAAATTTCATGGACAAACACATTTTTGAAATTCCTAAGAGCCCGTTTGGCCATGAAATTTTTTTCACATTTTTTTCGATTTCTTTTTTTTTTTTTTACTTTTTTCGAAATTAGTGTTTGGCCAAAAAAAAATCAATTTTCACTTGAAGATGAATTTTGGAATTTTTTGAAAATTTTGAAAAACTTTAAAAAACTGTTTTTCAAAATTTCACTCAGATTACTCGTAAAAATTCAAAATCAACTAACATTATATTCATGTCCAAATACAACTCTAATTTTTGAATACTATTTTCATTTGAATTTTTTCTCTGTGATAAATAGAATATTATTTATGGTGAATGTCTATATTTAGAGAGATTCTAGGGTTTATTACGTGGTGGCTAAGTCACCCTCTCCCATATAAATAGAGGGATCCTATTCCATTGTAAATCATCCCAAATCAATAAGAATTCTCTCTCCCTACTTTTCTCTGCAATACTATTCTTCTTCTTTTATTGTTCATAACACGTTACCAGCACGCGACTCTAACCAATTGAGTAGAAGCTTTGGGATTGAGCATAATGATTGTCAATTGTTCCATGAACTTCCTTCATGATTAAATTCTGGATTTAAGGTAAGTATTTAACTTTATTTTTCTCTTTTAAATTCTTGACATTCTATAATTTGATTTTAAATACAAGCAAAGACAATAAATTTTGATTATAACTCTAATAGAGTTTGTAAGAAATTATAACCACGTGAAATGGTAAAATTTCTATGTCTTGCCATGATTAAAGTCATGTATGATCGTGAGCACAAGAAGTGAAAACCCGTCCCATTGAATTTGCTTCATTCTCATTCTCTTAAGAGAATATGATGGCAATATGTGATAAGTCTGAAAGAAGACAAAATTATTACCGTGAAGGTATCAATGGATGTGGACGTGGCAATAGACGAAATTATAATCGTCATCATTGTGGTAATGAGAACAATAAGGATTTTCAAAATAATCCTTCACTATGTAAAAGTAGTATTTGTCATCGATTTGACATGAGATTTTATAAAGCACATATAGATGATTATGGTCCATTCATGATGTGAATGTGACAACATCTGATTTATGAATACATATTCATTCTTGGAAGAATATGAATGTGATAGTGGTAGTGAATATACCACGCTCGCCTCAAAAGGAGGGTTGAGATGATATAAGAAAATAATGTCATTATTATGACATGAATAGCCATTGGTCACATACCTATTGTACGCCAAAATATTTTGGCATTGTGATTATTAAAAGACAACGGTAATGCAAGAAACAGATCTTGCATATAACTTTGACCATAACCATAATAATATAACTTTCTCTTTAAAAGAGATATTAATCATATGGATGTTGATGAATATGTGATAGTACAAAATTAATTGAGAGCTCTAGAAGAGCCAATTATACTATTTTGGAGAAAATTGATTATCAATAAGACGTTGTGCTGTAGTAAGTCTCAGAGAAACTTATTGAGTTTCTAAAGTATTCGCGAAAGCGGTTGGTCATACTCAGGCTATTAATAAAAAGAAAGATCTAATATCTTCTATTACTACAACTTGTAGCGGGGTAATATGTATGTGAAAAGCTACCCGCTTTATTCTCAAGTTTGTACCACACAAATAAAAGAATACCACAATAAAGTAGAAGTTTATCGATATAAAACCCATATCATAATAAACTTGGAGTTTATTGATATCCAATTGGCATAAATGGTTTAGTCATATCAATTTAAGTATGATGTGCAAAAAAAAAAAAAAAAGAGAATTCACATGGGTAAATATTAAAGAACTAGAAAGTTCTTTACGAATTCTCTAACGTTGCTTGTTCTCATTAACTAATAGACCAACTAAAATTGGGATTGAATCCCATGAATGTTGTAAATATCAAAGGTGAATATGGGCCCATTCACCTACCATGTATACCACATAAGATGCATCTATGTGATGGTTACATGTGCGATTATTATTAACCCGCAACATGGTGTTTGCGAGGTAACTTGCTCAATAATTTGATATAATTTCCAGATTTTTTATTCAAGATAGTTCATCTTGATAAGTTGGTTTACATCACAGTTGGTTTAGCAAAATGATTTATTGAGTGCCTCCACTTAATAGTTAGAATTGTTTATGAGAACAAAGTTATCTATATCAGTCTGATATACGTTATATACAAAAGTATATTATTTTCTCCCCTCACAGGCGGTTCAGGGTCAGGAACCAAATAATTCCATCTTAGTATTATTGATGTGCGGTGTATATTTTGATTAACACTATAACACAGAAAGGTGAATTTTTAAAAGTCGAGGAAGCAAGTTAGTTTTTCTAACATGAGGGGGAGACATGATAAACAGTTGAGAAAAAGTTACGTGGAATGAATTATCATTTGTACATCTAGATCCTCGAATAAGATAATATGAACTTGAAGTTCATAAAAGGATAATTCATTTGCAATATATTGCAAAGCATGCCAGACGCATTTGCTGGCCCAAAGAAAGTAACTATATTCTCATTGCAAATGCTCCCATTAAGTCCTAGAAGGACAAAGTCTACGGCACCCTTGAAGCGTATAGACAAATCGGTTTCAAATAAACTTCTTGATAAAGAAGATGAGCAAATGATCTAAATGATCATAACACATGAGGCAAGTGATCTAGAACATCACATGACATAACACTTCATAAAATCTCAAGAGAGAGTCAGGTACCTGAAAATATAAATGAAGAGATCTCTATGTTATGTCTTTATGAAAAAAAGGAGGTTGGAACCACTATAAAATATTCGTCGACACATCTATAAAAGCGCTAAGTATCGATGAGAATTTTAAGTCTGTCGAATGCAGACACAAAAATATTGGCCAAATAGAAGAGACACAATTCATATAGAATTGGTTTCATATGAAAGACATGTAGTTCAAACACTTGAAAGTATAAAGTCAATGGTATGTGCAATCAGTTTTCCATATCTTATATGTCTAGCATGACATGAAAACTTGATATGTATCTAAAGTCTATTATATGACTTATATGACTTAACAATCCCTGAAGGATTTAAATTGCTTAAAGCATATGGAATTCTTGGTCATGAAGTACTACATCCTCAGTGCAATTTGTGCACAAATATATCTTGCTATAACTATATGCATGATAATATGCCTGACAATTCTTATGTCCAAACGCCCACTAAATCACAAGATTTGAAAGTGGAGGAAGACACTAAAAGCGGATGTAACATGATATAATTGGAACTTGAGTGTAACATATTGAAATAAGATGAAATAGAGGGACATGAAAAGAAAAATCGGTAACCAGTTCAGCAAAGTAAATCTGGGGATAAATAGGGTGCTGAAGTCAAGAGGAGCTCGATCGGGTGTGTTCCCTTTCTATTTTCTTTCAACTTAAATCTCTCTTTTTGTCTGTCGAAAACAAAAAAGCCCACTTCCTCCTCAGCTAAATGTCCTAAAACTCTCTCCCGCAGCAAAAGAGACAAAGAGAAGACGAAAGACATGGGTTCAAAGCTGCAACTCCAGCTGAAGGAGCTGGGATCCAAGCTCGACGACCCTCCCTCTACCAAAGACTCTCTTATCAAGCTCTTAAAGGTGTAAATCCCTTTTTCTTCTCCTCTTAATTTAACTTCTTGTTGTGAATTCTTTCACATTTAATGCACTGCTAATATTTAGCTGTCTTCTCCTTTTTTGCTCGACATAATATATAGTTAGTTGAACCTCATGCAGAGTTCCCCATTTATTTCACTTGAATTAGGGTTCGTTTGCAGATTCCTTTTTGTTATTCCCTAAATTGGATATTAAGTTCTCTTCTTTTTCATTTTTCTTTTGATGTATTGTAAAAATTGGGCCTATTCCCACTTTTAGCCCCTTTTTTTGTTTTGTTTTAAGCTACCTTTTTACTTCTGAACCATTCTGTATGTAGTTTTTTTCTCGGGGTTTTATTGCAGTTCCATTTGTTCTGACGATTCTAGTATGGATAGTTAATTTTTCCACTTTCTCTCAATTTTGGGAAAATTTCATTGAATTCTTCCCCCTTTTTAAAGTAAATTAAGAAACTGAAGGACGTGAAGAATCCAACTTTAAAGCTTTCAACTTAAGGTTGCAGATGAGGATGTCTATAACTGTTTCTTTATACACTGCTGGATAAATAGCTATATATTATGGGTTCTGTTTGCTATCCTGCTATAGTGTCACTAGGATAGACACACTTAAGTGCAGTTTGAGTTAACTCCCAACCAAAGCATTTGTAAAGTTTTCTACTTTTTGTTGCACTACTTGTATACGGGTGATTCTATTGCCTTACAAAATCATATTATTTGATCCTTAAAAAGAAAAACTCCCAACAGAATAAGGCGCCTTTATTCATATTAGATACTGCATCATTTGACCACCTTGCTGATGAGAAAATTGCCATATACGCTAAAAGATAGAATGGCTGTTTTTTCTGTGTGTGTGTGTGTGGTGGGGTGGGGGTGGGGGGTGGGGGGGACTTTGTGATTGACAGTCTGAACAGAATCCAGAGCCCATTCTGTTATAGACTTATGATTGTCAATTAAATTTTTTTAAATAAAAAACTGGGGATGAGAAACCACACAGTTATCTTGGTAGTTACACCACATCATAAACATAGAATTTTAGCTGCCTCTGGCCACTTACTGCAGGGAGAAAGTGTCATGATGTTAGTCTCTTAAAATTTCCTTATTTTGGTGCAAACAACAATATGAAGTAAATTCTGTTGCTTGGAAAAACCTGGTCTGCCTTAAAAAAAAACAGATTATTTAGTATTGGAATGAGTTGATGGATACAAAAGATTCATAAGGCGGGCCACAGTAGTTTGGGATTGAAACCTAGTTGAACCAAAGGCCTTGCTAAGATTGCTCATTTACTATCAGAACCTCCTGAAATTACAACGCCATAATCACACTGACCTAGTGGCGGCAAAATTGTTAGAAGAAAACAGTTATCCACCCATATTATCCATTAATAAATGGGTTGGATAATGAACTTTTAAAAAACGGGTCAAATATGGATAAGAACCATATTATCCACTTAGAAAATGGATAACAAGTGGATAACCGATGGATATCTAATGGGTAAACTTTTACATTTGTAAAGCCTCAAATTGGGGGTTCCTCAAGTTTGGGAGACTAGGAATTCTCCCAAAAGTGATCATATTCAAGAAGCCATGGATATATCCATATTATCCGTTGGCTAACCCGTTTTTTAATCCGTATTAAATATGGACCGGGTCGAATGAATTATCCGTTTTTGCATTACTATTTCCGAACCACCAATATCTGACCCGCCCCGTCCGTTTGCCACCCCTACACCAACCTGTATCTAAAGCTGATAATTACTAAAGCTTGTTCTGTATCTGTCTTGCAAGTTTCAGTATCTTCTTATTCTATTTAGGATCTGCCAAAGCAAAATAGAAAAGTAAAGTTGTACATTGAGCATGGTTTCCGGTCAATTTGGTCGACAGATCTGCTTGGATTGCTTTTGCAGTTAGATCGGATTCTTTAGTTTCCTGTTCGGTGTGTCCTTATTTTTCAATTTTGTAGAAGTTGACTGGAAAAGTTATGTTCTTGATTAATGTTTGCTTATTGATTCATGACTGACTTGACTAAGTACAATGAGAAAAATTAAGGGGACAACACTTTTTCTTGATCCTTATACTAAGGTGACACTCTTGATCCTTGCAAATGGAAAAGGTGCAGAAATCTCATGCTTCATTTCTAATCCCATTATATGGATCATTTATTTCTTTGCATTTAAAAAATTCTATCCCTTGAGTGATTAATTAACCCAGAAAATACAAACTTCCCCTGCTTGCATAAAAAGTTGAGACCTATTTAAAACCTTTTCTCTGATGACTTTCTTCAACGTTTTTCTGTGATTAATGCGATTATTTATTAATCGAAATTTTCGTTTATGTCCTTAAAATAGTAATAAGAAATTTAGAATATATGAAGTTGGGATTTGGCACTCAAAGATAGTGCAGGGAAGTGCAGCCTGTTGTAATGACTGAGTGCAGATAAATTTTGACCAGGAACTTGCTCACCCAACATCAATAGAGACATATTAATGTTGATCTTTAATTGCTTCAAATGATGTCCGTCCCATTTTATGTGCTTTATCATTTCCTTATTAAAGTTAGATGTGCTCTCCATCAGTTGATCAACTAGCTAATTGCCTGCTATGAGAGTCATTTCATGATAATTGGAAGCCGCCATTTTTCTGCACTTTGAAACCTTCTCAGTTTTAACAATTTGCACTCTTTGCTTGCTGCTACTTTTCTAGTTATAGATCCTTTCAAACATCCCACTAATGGTTATACTGCATCATGTGGTAGTGGTACTCTGATGATGATCTTGTCTCAACTTTGTGCTCTCTGTAGTTTGACTGTTTTTCTCTTGATAATTGGTGTCTTTAAAATAGAGTCAATGGGAAAAGCCCAATCTTTTAGGCTGTCTGCTTTTGGGTCTTTTTGGTCTTTGTTTCTTTGGGTCAGTTCGCAACTTGAGTGTCCTTGTAACCGGTTATCTTTTGGGTCTTTGTATGTTGTTTTGAAATCTTGTATTGGGCACTTCTCTTGACTGCCATTTCTTGTGAAACTCTATGTTTACCTATCCAATTAAAGAAAGTCTTGAGCTCTGTCTAGTGTCTATCCAGCACAGCTTTTAATATGAGCTTACTTGGTTTAACTTGTTTTCTTTTGTACGATTGGATATGAGCATTTTACTTTTTATTTCTGTTAGAAGATATTGAATATTTGTCTATTGCATATGGGTTTTAAAGAAGTGGTTTTCTATTCTCAAACTGCTTTTATAACCCCGTGAATGCTTTAAGATTCGTGTTTTCACAAACTTGAGATCCAGTTATATGCTTGACCTTGCCGTTGCTGTAATGTTTGATTGAATATATTACAAACTTGTAATACATGATTGAATTTCAGCAAGGCACAACATTTCTTTCTGAGTTGGAGCAGTCACCGCCAAAAGCTATGTTGGAGGCCATGCAGCCCTTACAAGCTGCTATGGTTAAACCAGAACTCCTAAAGCATCAAGATAGGGAGGTTAAGCTTCTTGTTGCCACCTGTATCTGTGAGATAACAAGAATTACTGCACCTGAAGCTCCTTACAGTGATGATGTTCTAAAGGTAATTATATATAATGGTAAAGAGACTCGGTGTCACATTTATATGCCCTCGATTTATGGAGCAACTAAAAAACCTGTTTTTTTTGCTTTGGTTCGAGTCAGGACATCTTCCATTTGATTGTCAGCACTTTCAGCGGCTTAGGTGATATAAATAGTCCATCCTTTGGAAGAAGAGTTGTCATCTTAGAAACTCTAGCAAGATATAGATCATGTGTCGTAATGCTGGATCTTGAGTGTGATGATCTTATCAATGAAATGTTCCGGACTTTTCTCAGTGTTGTCAGGTGAGCTTTATCTTGTATGAGAAGGTCTTGTCAGTAAACTTTGTGGCAGACTTGTCACCTAGTAGTGCTGCTGCAATATCTTGCTTTCTGAAGAATTTGGCTCAGCTAAAAACAAATTGTTACCAATTTCTGGTCTTTGATGACATTAAATACCTTTTTTTCTAGAAAGGTAAATATTTTATAAATCCTGGGAAAAGCTCCTGTATTCAAGTAGTATACTAGTAAGTAGGAAACATGCATTCTCAAGAATACATTCAAATATGGTTCTCTACAAAAGACACCCAATCTTCTATATAATTAGCTATCTCGTAGGTGTGTCAAAAAGAAAAGATGCAAGAGGCTATTCTGCAAATGTACAAAGTCATTTTCAAAATGCTCACTTATTTGTCTCCTCCCATAAGGGCCAAATGGGCAATCTCCGATGCCCTTGTTGTTTCCCTGCTTTAAATGCACAGCTATGCAACACCTTTCTTATTGTACCTGGCATCACCCACTGTGTATCTGAAACAGTTCAGAACCACCCTCCACAGACTTGACACCACCTTACAAATCAGATGACATTTAGTAACTTTATGATGTGGCAAATGATGTTATTGGGGCATTTAGTAATGAATTGTTTCCTAAGCATATCAACTCAAATACCAGAGTGTCCTCTCATACGTTCCTTTTTTCTCTTCCATTGGCTCTATCTTATGTGTACTGAGCCAAAATTCTTTTATATTTCCATTCAATTGGCTGGCTTGAACTCTAACAGTTGTTTTTATGTTGAAACTACACTAGTACTCAATAAATCGTGCTGAAAGGACTTAATATAGGGCCAAACACTATTTGACTCCTCTCGCATTTGAACATGCCAAACGTTGAAATTTAAGATAAGGAGAAAGATCAAACTCTGCTATACAAAGAGAAGAGAGGGGAAAGAAAATGATAAGGAAACACGAAAGAAAGTGAGAAAAAGGTGGGAGCCGGTCAAAATAGGTGGGAGGACGTATTCACACCTTGAAGATGAATTTATTTCCCAAAATTAGTTGCACTTCTAGGACTTTTGTCAACCACGTATCATAAATCTTGTACGGTCCAATATTCTTTTGGTCACTATCGCTGTCTTCTTCTCCCAATTATGCCACAAATGTTTGAACAACTTCTTCCACCCACTTTGCTTTTTGAAAGCCATATTCATCAGCTTTTTGGGTAAAGTGCATACGTACAACTTCCGTTTTTACTTTGTCCCCATTTCAAAGTGTTTCTTAGCCTGTTCAAGCAACAAAAATAATCTAGTATGACTCTGACTAATGTGAAAAAAACTGAAGAAGGTAATGCAAGGTAAGTGTCACTGCACTACTTATAAAAAAAAAGGTAAGTGTCACTGCATATCTTAATTTGGGGTGCTTAATTTAGAAAAAATGATAAAAGTGCATATCATGATGAATGTATGCTAATATATGTTGTGAGATGAAATTTTATCTCAAAATTTTAGAAATTGTACCTACTGTTATATACAAATTTTTGTTGCTCCGACTTCCCTGCTAATTCAATAACTTCCTGTCTTATACACCATGTATGTAGGGACGAGCATCAAGATAGTGTTCTGACATCAATGCAAACTATTATGGTTGTTCTCATAGAAGAGAGTGAGGATATTCGGGAGGATCTTTTACATGTCATGTTGTCGGTTCTAGGTCGCCATAAGAAAGTAAGTGTTTGTGTTTCATGATGAAGTATATCTGCAGGAGTTTTTATTTCTTTCTTTGGGCGCTTTATCCTGAAGAGCTGGGTTTTAACACTTTATCAGGATGTTACAATGGCTGGAAGGGGGCTCGCTATGAAGGTGATAGAGGAGTGTGCAGGAAAATTAGAGCCCAGCATAAAGCAGTTTCTTGTTTCTTCGATGTCTGGAGACAGCAGGCCAACAACATTTGAAATTGACTACCATGAAGTCATTTATGATATTTACCGTTGTGCTCCTCAGATCCTATCAGGAGTTGTTCCCTACGTCACAGGAGAGCTACTGGTGCATTAATTTCTTCTTCCCCTCTCTGTGTTATTTAGATCATCTTTTTTTCCCGTGAAGTAATGTAAACTGTGTGAATCCGTGCTTTAGTTTTTCAAAAAATGTCTTGACAGCTTAGTAATCATTATTGGAACTTACTAGCCGTTGTTTTCCTCTCTTCTTTATGGCCTGGTTGGCCCGTTGAGGTAGCTGGTGTAGTTTAAAGGATTTTAGCCATTAGCTTCTTTTTTGATGCTGAGTACCTCCAGATGTCAGTCTTGAAGTAATTGACTAACTCAAGATATGTTACCTAGTCATTTATGTTCATTTATCTAGGAGATCTTTTCTTCCCTTTCCTACTTCTGACAATCTAACATACGAGCTTGAATGTGACAGACAGATCAGCTGGATGTACGATTAAAAGCTGTGCACTTAATTGGGGATCTTTTTGCTCTGTCGGGATCTGCTATATCTGAAGCCTTTCAACCAATTTTCTTGGAATTTTTGAAGAGACTTACTGATAGAATAGTTGAGGTCCGAATGTCTGTTCTTGAACATGTCAAGGGATGTCTTCTGTCAAATCCAGTTAGACAAGAAGCGCCTCAGATCATCTGTAAGAATATTGGAAATCTTTATTTATTCATTTATTTATTTATTCAGTTGGTAATCTAATTGAAACATGTTCTAGCTGCCCTTCGGGACCGGCTGTTGGATTATGATGAAAATGTGCGCAAACAAGTTGTTGCCGTGCTTTGTGATGCGGCATGTAACACCCTTACGTCCATGAAGGTTGAAACGATTAAGCTGGTAGTCAGAGCGCATTCGCCCGAGACTGGTAACGCTGAAAGCTTTGCGGCAAGTGGCCCTCCGAGGATCTCAGAGAGTTCTCATATTCCTTTTCAAACACAAATCATGCCCACCATATGCGCTCATTATGAAACAGGCAAATGGACTTTGGC